GCCGGCTCTGCCACTGCCGCGCCCGGCTGGGGGGCTGGTGCGAACGCCAATGAATTTCCGGGAATTTTCAGAGAGACAGATCCCGGAAGAGGGTCACCTGGTAGACTTGGAGAAATAATTGGCGCAACAAGATAAACCTCCACGGAACCTGGAGTTCCCAAAAGCCCCGAAGGACTCAGTGCTCAAATCGGCGGCAAACGCGGCGATCGCTCAGGCCCACCAAACATATTGGCATGCTCTGCCATTTGGCATCAGCGAGTCCATCCGCGAGGAGATGTGACCTGGCTTCATGGAAATGATGAAGGGCATCCATCATTGATGTGATCAGGCCGCCAGGGAGCCAAACCGCCGAGACTAACACTGCGCCGAAGCCGCCGAGACATGTCGAGCCGGGACAGGCGCCATCCCGAAAGATAGGTAAGTGTAAGGTAAGTGTTCCAGCGCGAGGCATTTCCACCGCCGGTGCCACTGAAGAAACATAGACAAGGCACGCGAGGGACGGAGTCTTCGTCCAGCAGCCCAGTTTACGTTGCAGATGCTCAGTCAAGGAACTGGCGTAACCCGAATGACCGCTATTTCCGAGTAGGGGACCGGAGAGCGGATGATTTTCAACCGGAGGAGGCGTACGCCAACGTACGAGAAACGGCGTACATGAAGCTCGAGCGGTGGAACGTCAAGTTTGACGGCGAGGACGCGATGAATTCAGTCGAGGACTTCATGTTCCGCCTGGAGTTCCTGGAGCGGCAGTATCAATGCCCGTGGAAGGAGGTCCTGCGCGGTTTCCACCTGCTCCTGACCGGCCGCGCCCGCGAGTGGTATTGGATGCACGTGCGGCATTCTAGGGTCGACAGCTGGATGCAACTGCGGTATGCCCTCTTGGACAGGTTCCGGGGCTACCAGACGGAACACGATGTGATGCAGGAGAGCAACAGGCCAGCGAAGGAGTGTATGACTATATCCACATGCGTCAACTCGCTGCGCGATTCCAGAACCCGCTGAGAGACCGCGACCTGGTGAAGATTATAAAGGGCGGTTTGAAAGAAAGTCTAGCGAAATATAACTATGCCATGCACGATGGAGGAGTGCCTAGAAGTGGAGAGGCACAAGGTTCGCAGAAGCCGGACGGGGTACCTTCCGCCGTCGCGTTGTCCACGAGGAACGAGGCCCGTAGTCCACGAGGTTGAACTACCACCACATCGTACAGTACGCTGAGAGAACTGGAGAAAGCATTCGTGCGAGGCAGGAACTCATCCCGACTCGTGTGCTGGAACTGCAGACAATTCGATCACGTCCTTAGAGACTGCATGTCCAAGGAGCAGAAAATATTCTGCTATAGGTGTGGAAAGCCGGACACTTTCTGCTCCCAGTGTGAAAGCTGTCCGGGAAGCAGGAGAGAGGTACCTACCAAAGCCAATAATCATTGGAGATTTGGGATAAGGATCAGGATAAGGCTAATTATAATAATAATATAAGCAAAGGAGGAACACTTAGGGGCTTACCATATGAAGAATGTGTTCGGGCATACATGTCGGCCGAAATAGAATTTTTGGTTAGGGACAGCTGGAAGGAATGACACTAGCCACCAGTAGAGTGGTGAAGGTACATGCGCGCTTCCGCAGACGCAGGATTACCCGGTGCCAGGTCGTCGAAGCGGTGAGACGGGAGGATAGTATAGACCCACGCGTATTCGCCGCAGTGGAAGTCGCCGGGGCCAAAATGAAAGGGTTGCTGGACACGGGGGCCTCAGTCAGTCTGTTGGGACGAGGATGCCGAGAGTTAGTGGAGGAACTGGGATGGGAAGCGCGGCCATACGAATCGATGGTGAGGACAGCGGCGGGTGCCAATCGCCCAATTTTGGGTCACGTTGTTCTGCCATTGAAATACGAGAATAGAAAGCAAGATATCGTATTTTACATGCGCCCGGACCTGCGACAGGAACTATACATGGGAATCGATTTCTGACGATCAGAGGAGTCAGTTGAAGCATGAAGAGCAGATTTCTCCAATTTGAGAAGGATGGCCTAGAGAAAACTCACCTGCAGCAGCACCGAATTCAGCTGATCGAGGGAGCAGAATCCGTGAAGGGCAGACATTATCTGCTGTCTCCGGCCAAACAGTAGCTCGTGTGGGCCGAGGTGGATAAAATGCTAAAGTTAGGCATCATCGAGGAGAGTGACAGCCCCTGGAGCAACCGGACGACGCTGGTGATGAGGCCTGGGAAGAACAGGTTTTGCTTAGACGCTAGGAAATTAAATGGTGTGGCGGTAAAAGACGCTTACTCGCTTCCATGCATCGAGAGCATCCTATCGTTAATCGATGAGACTCAATTTATCTCTAGCGTCGACCTTAAGTTCGCGTTCTGACAAATCGAGATGGAGGAGAAGAGCAGGGCGTATACGGCGTTTACCGTACAAGGGGGGCCACTGTACCAGCTGATAAACATGCCATTCGGGCTCTGCAACGCCGCTCAACAACTTTGCAGGCTCATGGACAAGGTAATCCCGGCGAATCTGAGGTCCAACGTGTTCGTATACCTACACGACTTGCTGATATTATCGGCAGATTAAAATACTTGCAATTGGTGGCCGAGTGTCTGAGGAACGCGAACCTCACCATAGGCACGGCGAAGTCAAAATTCTGCTTCCGCAACCTAGGCGGCGGGACGCTGCGCACGGATCCGGGAAGGGTAGAAACGATCCGGATCATCCCGAATCCGAAGACGGTCAAGGAACTACGAAGCTTCTTAGGTACAGCGGGGTGGTATCGACGATTCATAAAGAACTTCGCCGAGATCTCGAAACCGTTGACTGATGCCCTTAAGAAGAGAACGGGTAGATTTATGTTAAGTGACGAGGCCATAGATGCCATAGAAAGCTTGAAGTTAGCACTCACCACTGCCCCGGTGTTAGTCCACGCGGATTTTCGAAGACCATTCCAATGCGACGCATCTCACTACGGAGTAGGAGCCGTGTTGTTCCAGCTAGACGACGAGCAACAAGAAAGGCCGATCGCATTCTTCTCGACCAAACTCAACAAGCACCAGATCAACTATTCGGTGACCGAGAAGGAATGCCTAGCCGCCAAACTGGCCATACATCGATTCCGACCGTACGTGGAGATGATGCCGTTCACGGTAATCATCGATCATGCGAACCTGCAGTAGCTTCTGAGTCTCAAAGTCTTGAGCGGGAGATTAGCCAGGTTATCCCTAGAACTGCAAGCGTTCCCTTTCTCCATGCAGTACCGCAAGGGAGCCGACATCATCGTCGCAGACACGTTGTCCCAAAGCGTGGAAGAGGTCGAACTGACCCCGGAGGATCTATTGGGATTTCAGATCACGGAGTTCGAGAGCACCGAATATCGAGAGCTGATAAAAGAGGTGATGAGCCAACAAGGGAAGTTGCCGGATCTTATAGGACCGTGAACGGGAGCTTGGAGGATGAGGTCGAAGGCACAAGTTGGAAGCTCTGGGTGCCGGAGTCGCTGACTGCAGGACTCATCTAACAAGCACACGCGTACGAGACGTCAGCTCATGGAGGCATGAGGAAAACGCTGCACGCGCTGCGCAGGCAATATTATTGGCCCAACATGGCCATACAAGTCAGGGACTCTGTACGGAAATACGATACATGCAAGGAGCCCAAGGCACAAAACTACCGGATGCAGGTCGGAATTGGGGAAGAAGTGTGCACCTACCGCCCCTTCCAAAAGCTATGAATATATCGACTTCTTGGGGAAGTATCCACGGTCGAAACGAGAGCATGCGTGGATATTCGTCGTCGTAGGCCACTTCTCGAGATTTACCTTGGCGTGGCGGAAGTGATCCATTTGGATAATGGACGACAATTCGTGTCAAAGTCGTTCGATGCGATGGTCGCGTTTGGCATTACTCACCTGCGCACACCAGTGAATTCGCCTCAGAGCAACGCCGCCGAACGCGTGAGCCGCATAGTGCTGTTTGCAATCAGAACCTACCTGGGTCAGGATCATCGGGATTGGGACGCGTACCTACCAGAGGTGGAAGTGGCGATCCGGAATGCGGTCCACAGCGCTACGGGAGTGACTCCGTTCTTCGCGGTCTTTGGACAGCAGATGTTCTGACCTTGTAGCAGCAGTATTTCTGACCTTGACGCGAAGGACAACTGGCTGTAATCCGAAGCCAAGTCAAGGACCATCTGCACACCGCATACGAGCGAAGTCGCCAACGATACGACCACCGATTGCTATTGGCCGCCCGGTTCGCTCTTAAAGAAAATATGAGGAGAGTGGATCGCATGCCCTTGGATATGCCCTTGGCCGTCATTTGGGCCATTGACCCAAAAAAAATTCAGCTGTGCAGATGGGCAGCAACGGTGCCCACCTCGCCAATGTATGCGTGTGCCGAAATTCGGCACCGATGATGTTGCTGCCCAAATATACCGGGAGCTCGACTTTGTCAGCGGTCCACAGCGGACGTACCGGCTCGCAGTTAAAAATGTTTGAAGTCGGATTTTTTTTTTTTGCCGGCCACGGAGCATGTGCATAACCAAAAAGAAAAAATCAAAGGGCATACATTTGTTCATGACGGGCTGTCTTTATTATTTAATTGCCAAGATAATTCCTTATGTGCTAACGTATTGCAAAAGAAATAGTGCACAAGAGCGATAATACACGAAAAATATTACACCAGAAACACACTGTCGTCATTTAAAACCACTATAAAAGCGATACACTATTAGAGCAGCCGCAGCCATTCGGTGGCACACCACGCTTGAATCCCGCGTCGGAGAACGCTGGCCAGATCAACCCAGGTATTCACGGGTCGGCTTTTCAAAGCGCGGCCAAGTGTCGGCGTAAACCACGTGACGGAGAGACGAGCCATTATGGACGGGACTCATACGACGAAGAGGCGGCCCATATCATCCGAGTGAGTCTGTTTCATTTCGTGCCTCCTCGCCTGAGTAAACGGCAGAGTCAGACGCAGACTTCCCATTGTGCCCCCTGAAAGAGAACCATTTTTTTTTTTCTACTACTAGTTTGAATAAAGTAAATTTCCGAAAGTGCCAACCGGGAAGGAAAGGGCCCAAAGATTATTGCGTCTGCCAAGTAAAGAATGAAGATAGCAGGTTAGATTTTGGTCAACTTATGCACGAGTAATACCCACTATACGTATATATATATATATGTTACGCACCTCAGGTACAGGTGCCCCCCACCCAGAGAGCTCTTTAGGCAGACAAGGTAAACAAACAAGGAAAACAACGCCTTTCGTTGGAAACACATATTAATACATATTAATACATAAAAAAGGTATTCTATACAAAAAGAAAAAGAAATTTAATATATTTAAGATTAATAGAAATTGTTAGAAATATGAAATGATGCAAAGCGATAACTGTTGAAGCGAAGTTGAAAGATGGAAGAAAATTTAAATTTAAAACTTATATTAAATTGACCCAGGCTTTTGAAGGTGCGTATATCAGTGATGGTTTAAACCCGGATCTATCTAAGAAATACAGTTTGACATTAGCTGTAAAGGCCATGACGCAAAACGCTGCGCACGGATCCGGGAAGGGTAGAAACGATCCGTATCATCCCGAATCCGAAGACGGTCTAGGAACTACGAAGCTTCTTAGGTACAGCGGGGTGGTATCGGCGATTCATAAAGAACTTCGCCGAGATCTCGATACCGTTGACTGATGCCCTTAAGAAGAGAACGGGTAGATTTGTGTTGAGTGACGAGGCCATAGATGCCATAGAAAGCTTGAAGTTAGCACTCACCACTGCCCCGGTGTTAGTCCACGCGGATTTTCGAAGACCATTCCAATGCGACGCATCTCACTACGGAGTAGGAGCCGTGTTGTTCCAGCTAGACGACGAGCAACAAGAAAGGCCGATCGCATTCTTCTCGATCAAACTCAACAAGCACCAGATCAACTATTTGGTGACCGAGAAGGAATGCCTAGCCGCCAAACTGGCCATACATCGATTCCGACCGTACGTGGAGATGATACCGTTCACGGTAATCATCGATCATGCGAACCTGCAGTAGCTTCTAAGTCTCAAAGACTTGAGCGGGAGATTAGCCAGGTTATCCCTAGAGCTGCAAGCGTTCCCTTTCTCCATGCAGTACCGCAAGGGTGCCGACATCATCGTCGCAGACACGTTGTCCCAAAGCGTGGAAGAGGTCGAACTGACCCCGGAGGAACTATTGGGATATCAGATCACGGAGTTCGAGAGCACCGAATATCGAGAGCTGATAAAAGAGGTGATGAGCCAACAAGGGAAGTTGCCGGATCTTATAGGACCGTGAACGGGAGCTTGGAGGATGAGGTCGAAGGCACAAGTTGGAAGCTCTGGGTGCCGGAGTCGCTGACTGCAGGACTCATCTAACAAGCACACGCGTACGAGACGTCAGCTCATGGAGGCATGAGGAAAACGCTGCACGCGCTGCGCAGGCAATATTATTGGCCCAACATGGCCATACAAGTCAGGGACTCTGTACGGAAATACGATACATGCAAGGAGCCCAAGGCACAAAACTACCGGATGCAGGTCGGAATTGGGGAAGAAGTGTGCACCTACCGCCCCTTCCAAAAGCTATGAATATATCGACTTCTTGGGGAAGTATCCACGGTCGAAACGAGAGCATGCGTGGATATTCGTCGTCGTAGGCCACTTCTCGAAATTTACCTTCCTGAAGGCCATGAGGGAAGCCACCGCGGCGGATTTCGTGAACTTCCTAGTGCATGAGGTGTTCTTCAAATTTGGCGTGGCGGAAGTGATCCATTTGGATAATGGACGACAATTCGTGTCAAAGTCGTTCGATGCGATGGTCGCGTTTGGCATTACTCACCTGCGCACACCAGTGAATTCGCCTCAGAGCAACGCCGCCGAACGCGTGAACCGCATAGTGCTGTTTGCAATCAGAACCTACCTGGGTCAGGATCATCGGGATTGGGACGCGTACCTACCAGAGGTGGAAGTGGCGATCCGGAATGCGGTCCACAGCGCTACGGGAGTGACTCCGTTCTTCGCGGTCTTTGGACAGCAGATGTTCTGACCTTGTAGCAGCAGTTTTTCTGACCTTGACGCGAAGGACAACTGGCTGTAATCCGAAGCCAAGTCAAGGACCATCTGCACACCGCATATGAGCGAAATCGCCAACGATACGACCACCGCGCGCGCCAGCTCCATCTGGAACCGGGACAGGAAGTGTGGAGGCGCAACTTCGCACTAAGCAGCTTCGGCAAAGCCTTCAATGCTTAGTTCGCCCGGAAATTCTTGAAGAGCCGAGTTGTCCGAGCCGTGGGCAAAGCATCCAATACTAGGAAGAACACTAGACTACGTAGTATTTAAAAAATCAACGATATAATGAAAAAAAATATTCATCAAACAAATTCCCATAAATGGAATGGCACCAGATAGCTGAAAAAATAAAGCTGAATAGATCGAATTTCGACAAATCATATAAGTGCCTAAATAAGAGCGCAACAGTTGTTGCATTTGACGTTATGGGCAGCACCGAGGGTTTACTTAGTTGGTTGCGTGTGAAATTATCGGCCACGCCTATCGGCGTCTTTTTGTCATATTGTCAGAGTATGCGGGGTGAAGCTGGGCCCACGGCGGAGCCCAAATTTTGGAAGAGTGGCAATGCCAGACCTGCGATCCACGGTGCCAAAAGCGACGATTGCTATTGGCCGCCCGGTTCGCTCTTAAAGAAAATATGAGGAGAGTGGATCGCATGCCCTTGGATATGCCTTGGCCGTCATTTGGGCCATTGACCCAAAAAAAATTAAGCTGTGCAGATGGGCAGCAACGGTGCCCACCTCGCCAATGTATGCGTGTGACGAAATTCGGCACCGATGATGTTGCTGCCCAAATATACCGGGAGCTCGACTTTGTCAGCGGTCCACAGCGGACGTACCGGCTCGCAGTTAAAAATGTTTGAAGTCGGATATTTTTTTTGCCGCCCACGGAGCATGTGCATAACCAAAAAGAAAAAAAGAAAAAATCAAAGGGCATACATTTGTTCATGACGGGCTGTCTTTATTATTTAATTGCCAAGATAATTCCTTATGTGCTAACGTATTGCAAAAGAAATAGTGCACAAGAGCGATAATACACGAAACAATATTACACCAGAAACACACTGTCGTCATTTAAAACCACTATAAAAGCGATACACTATTAGAGCAGCCGCAGCCATTCGGTGGCACACCACGCTTGAATCCCGCGTCGGAGGACGCTGGCCAGATCAACCCAGGTATTCACGGGTCGGATTTTCAAAGCGCGGCCAAGTGTCGGCGTAAACCACGTGACGGAGAGACGAGCCATTATGGACGGGACTCATACGACGAAGAGGCGGCCCATATCATCCGAGTGAGTCTGTTTCATTTCGTGCCTCCTCGCCTGAGTAAACGGCAGAGTCAGACGCAGACTTCCCATTGTGCCCCCTGAAAGAGAACCAATTTTTTTTTTCTACTACTAGTTTGAATAAAGTAAATTTCCGAAAGTGCCACCCGGGAAGGAAAGGGCCCAAAGATTATTGCGTCTGCCAAGTAAAGAATGAAGATAGCAGGTTAGATTTTGGTCAACTTATGCACGAGTAATACCCACTATACGTATATATATATATATGTTACGCACCTCAGGTACAGGTGCCCCCCACCCAGAGAGCTCTTTAGGCAGACAAGGTAAACAAACAAGGAAAACAACGCCTTTCGTTGGAAACATATATTAATACATATTAATACATAAAAAAAGTATTCTATACAAAAAGAAAAAGAAATTTAATATATTTAAGATTAATAGAAATTGTTAGAAATATGAAATGATGCAAAGCGTTATAGATAACTGTTGAATCGAAGTTGAAAGATGGAAGAAAATTTAAATTTCAAACTTATATCCATTATTCTAAATATAAGAATATCGTATGCACCTGGCTTAAAACGCCGGAAATGTTCGCGAGTACGAAATTATCAATAACAGCTTGAAGATAACCTGGAGGGGAATAAGAAATAGGATTAAATGTTAATAACGATAAGAAATGCAACCAATTACATGCCGTATCTGAAGAGAGAAATGTCCGTCTAAATTTTCTTTGATGGGGAGAGTTGGCATTACAGCCGCCACAGGCTGATGGCCATCTAATGGCAAATGAGGGAGACGAGTGTAGGTGATCGTCTCATGGTAGGGCGGGTACGCTGGGTCCGAAACCAGGGCCCGATCTGGGAGAGTAAGGTGGATAAATAGTGTTTTTTGTTAATTTATATTGAGTGTCTCATCTTTGTTGTTTACATGTTCATAGTTGTTACAGCTGTTTATTTTGTTCATGAGTTAGAAGTTCCGATTGTTTGACGTTATCGATTTGTGATTCGCTTTGCATAGTGTTGTGTAAATCTGTTTTGCTACAGACGTGTAGCTTCGTTGTTATCGATTGTGCGGACTGCAGGCCAGGGATGGGACTACACCCAGAGAAACCGATGATCCAGCCGGCGTGGCCCACCGAGAAACAAGCAGTTCCGTAACACAGTTTTGCGACCAACCATTATTAAACACACTGAGATTCGTGTATTTTACAACATCTAAGCGAAAATCTGGTAAGCTTAAACAAAAAATACAATCTCCAGCTTTATTTACCATCGGCGTTAAAAACATTTGATTGTACAGTTTTTTAAATTAGCCTCGTCACTCTTACCAGAGTTCGATGGAAAGGCCAAAAACCTACAAAGTTTTTTGGATGCATTGAATCTAATAGATTCCTTTAAAGACACCCACGAATTAACTGCAGTAAGCATAATAAAGACTAAGCTGAAGGGCCACGCTATAGCCCATTCGTGCTCTGCAACGCCGTTCAACAACTTTGCAGGCTCATGGACAAGGTAATCCCGGCAAATCTGAGATCCAACGTGTTCGTATACCTACACGACTTGCTGATATTATCGGCAGATTAAAATACTTGCAATTGGTGGCCGAGTGTCTGAGGAACGCGAACCTCACCATAGGCACGGCGAAGTCAAAATTCTGCTTCCGCAACCTAAACTACCTGGGTTACATCATAGGCGGCGGGACGCTGCGCACGGATCCGGGAAGGGTAGAAACGATCCGTATCATCCCGAATCCGAAGACTGTCAAGGAACTACGAAGCTTCTTAGGTACAGTGGGGTGGTATCGACGATTCATAAAGAACTTCGCCGAAATCTCGATACCGTTGACTGATGCCCTTAAGAAGAGAACGGGTAGATTTGTGTTGAGTGACGAGGCCATAGATGCCATAGAAAGCTTGAAGTTAGCACTCACCACTGCCCCGGTGTTAGTCCACGCGGATTTTCGAAGACCATTCCAATGCGACGCATCTCACTACGGAGTAGGAGCCGTGTTGTTCCAGCTAGACGACGAGCAACAAGAAAGGCCGATCGCATTCTTCTCGATCAAACTCAACAAGCACCAGATCAACTATTTGGTGACCGAGAAGGAATGCCTAGCCGCCAAACTGGCCATACATCGATTCCGACCGTACGTGGAGATGATACCGTTCACGGTAATCATCGATCATGCGAACCTGCAGTAGCTTCTAAGTCTCAAAGACTTGAGCGGGAGATTAGCCAGGTTATCCCTAGAGCTGCAAGCGTTCCCTTTCTCCATGCAGTACCGCAAGGGTGCCGACATCATCGTCGCAGACACGTTGTCCCAAAGCGTGGAAGAGGTCGAACTGACCCCGGAGGATCTATTGGGATATCAGATCACGGAGTTCGAGAGCACCGAATATCGAGAGCTGATAAAAGAGGTGATGAGCCAACAAGGGAAGTTGCCGGATCTTATAGGACCGTGAACGGGAGCTTGGAGGATGAGGTCGAAGGCACAAGTTGGAAGCTCTGGGTGCCGGAGTCGCTGACTGCAGGACTCATCTAACAAGCACACGCGTACGAGACGTCAGCTCATGGAGGCATGAGGAAAACGCTGCACGCGCTGCGCAGGCAATATTATTGGCCCAACATGGCCATACAAGTCAGGGACTCTGTACGGAAATACGATACATGCAAGGAGCCCAAGGCACAAAACTACCGGATGCAGGTCGGAATTGGGGAAGAAGTGTGCACCTACCGCCCCTTCCAAAAGCTATGAATATATCGACTTCTTGGGGAAGTATCCACGGTCGAAACGAGAGCATGCGTGGATATTCGTCATCGTAGGCCACTTCTCGAAATTTACCTTCCTGAAGGCCATGAGGGAAGCCACCGCGGCGGATGTCGTGAACTTCCTAGTGCATGAGGTGTTCTTCAAATTTGGCGTGGCGGAAGTGATCCATTTGGATAATGGACGACAATTCGTGTCAAAGTCGTTCGATGCGATGGTCGCGTTTGGCATTACTCACCTGCGCACACCAGTGAATTCGCCTCAGAGCAACGCCGCCGAACGCGTGAACCGCATAGTGCTGTTTGCAATCAGAACCTACCTGGGTCAGGATCATCGGGATTGGGACGCGTACCTACCAGAGGTGGAAGTGGCGATCCGGAATGCGGTCCACAGCGCTACGGGAGTGACTCCGTTCTTCGCGGTCTTTGGACAGCAGATGTTCTGACCTTGTAGCAGCAGTATTTCTGACCTTGACGCGAAGGACAACTGGCTGTAATCCGAAGCCAAGTCAAGGACCATCTGCGCACCGCATATGAGCGAAATCGCCAACGATACGACCACCGCGCGCGCCAGCTCCATCTGGAACCGGGACAGGAAGTGTGGAGGCGCAACTTCGCACTAAGCAGCTTCGGCAAAGCCTTCAATGCTTAGTTCGCCCGGAAATTCTTGAAGAGCCGAGTTGTCCGAGCCGTGGGCAAAGCATCCAATACTAGGAAGAACACTAGACTACGTAGTATTTAAAAAATCAACGATATAATGAAAAAAATTATTCATCAAACAAATTCCCATAAATGGAATGGCACCAGATAGCTGAAAAAATAAAGCTGAATAGATCGAATTTCGACAAATCATATAAGTGCCTAAATAAGAGCGCAACAGTTGTTGCATTTGACGTTATGGGCAGCACCGAGGGTTTACTTAGTTGGTTGCGTGTGAAATTATCGGCCACGCCTATCGGCGTCTTTTTGTCATATTGTCAGAGTATGCGGGGTGAAGCTGGGCCCACGGCGGAGCCCAAATTTTGGAAGAGTGGCAATGCCAGACCTGCGATCCACGGTGCCAAAAGCGACGATTGCTATTGGCCGCCCGGTTCGCTCTTAAAGAAAATATGAGGAGAGTGGATCGCATGCCCTTGGATATGCCTTGGCCGTCATTTGGGCCATTGACCCAAAAAAAATTAAGCTGTGCAGATGGGCAGCAACGGTGCCCACCTCGCCAATGTATGCGTGTGACGAAATTCGGCACCGATGATGTTGCTGCCCAAATATACCGGGAGCTCGACTTTGTCAGCGGTCCACAGCGGACGTACCGGCTCGCAGTTAAAAATGTTTGAAGTCGGATATTTTTTTTGCCGCCCACGGAGCATGTGCATAACCAAAAAGAAAAAAAGAAAAAATCAAAGGGCATACATTTGTTCATGACGGGCTGTCTTTATTATTTAATTGCCAAGATAATTCCTTATGTGCTAACGTATTGCAAAAGAAATAGTGCACAAGAGCGATAATACACGAAACAATATTACACCAGAAACACACTGTCGTCATTTAAAACCACTATAAAAGCGATACACTATTAGAGCAGCCGCAGCCATTCGGTGGCACACCACGCTTGAATCCCGCGTCGGAGGACGCTGGCCAGATCAACCCAGGTATTCACGGGTCGGATTTTCAAAGCGCGGCCAAGTGTCGGCGTAAACCACGTGACGGAGAGACGAGCCATTATGGAAGGGACTCATACGACGAAGAGGCGGCCCATATCATCCGAGTGAGTCTGTTCCATTTCGTGCCTCCTCGCCTGAGTAAACGGCAGAGTCAGACGCAGACTTCCCATTGTGCCCCCTGAAAGAGAACCAATTTTTTTTTTCTACTACTAGTTTGAATAAAGTAAATTTCCGAAAGTGCCAGCCGGGAAGGAAAGGGCCCAAAGATTATTGCGTCTGCCAAGTAAAGAATGAAGATAACAGGTTAGATTTTGGTCAACTTATGCACGAGTAATACCCACTATACGTATATATATATATATGTTACGCACCTCAGGTACAGGTGCCCCCCACCCAGAGAGCTCTTTAGGCAGACAAGGTAAACAAACAAGGAAAACAACGCCTTTCGTTGGAAACACATATTAATACATATTAATACATAAAAAAGGTATTCTATACAAAAAGAAAAAGAAATTTAATATATTTAAGATTAATAGAAATTGTTAGAAATATGAAATGATGCAAAGCGTTATAGATAACTGTTGAATCGAAGTTGAAAGATGGAAGAAAATTTAAATTTAAAACTTATATCCATTATTCTAAATATAAGAATATCGTATGCACCTGGTTTAAAACGCCGGAAATGTTCGCGAGTACGAAATTATCAATAACAGCTTGAAGATAACCTGCAGGGGAATAAGAAATAGGATTAAATGTTAATAACGATAAGAAATGCAACCAATTACATGCCGTATCTGAAGAGAGAAATGTCCGTCTAAATTTTCTTTGATGGGGAGAGTTGGCATTACAGCCGCCACAGGCTGATGGCCATCTAATGGCAAATGAGGGAGACGAGTGTAGGTGATCGTCTCATGGTAGGGCGGGTACGCTGGGTCCGAAACCAGGGCCCGATCTGGAAGAGTAAGGTGGATAAATAGTGTTTTTTGTTAATTTATATTGAGTGTCTCATCTTTGTTGTTTACATGTTCATAGTTGTTACAGCTGTTTATTTTGTTCATGAGTTAGAAGTTCCGATTGTTTGACGTTATCGATTTGTGGTTCGCTTTGCATAGTGTTGTGTAAATCTGTTTTGCTACAGACGTGTAGCTTCGTTGTTATCGATTGTGCGGACTGCAGGCCAGGGATGGGACTACACCCAGAGAAACCGATGATCCAGCCGGCGTGGCCCACCGAGAAACAAGCAGTTCCGTAACACAGTTTTGCGACCAACCATTATTAAACACACTGAGATTCGTGTATTGTACAACATCTAAGCGAAAATCTGGTAAGCTTAAACAAAAAATACAATCTCCAGCTTTATTTACCATCGGCGTTAAAAACATTTGATAAGTCACTCTTGACAAACTCAAATGAAAACGACCAAATAGAAAACATCAAATTAGTAAACATGGCTCAAACAGTTGTACAGTTTTTTAAATTAGCCTCGTCACTCTTACCAGAGTTCGATGGGAAGGCCAAAAACCTACAAAGTTTTTTGGATGCATTGAATCTAATAGATTCCTTTAAAGACACCCACGAATTAACTGCAGTAAGCATAATAAAGACTAAGCTGAAGGGCCACGCTAGAAATTTGATAAGTAATGAGCAGACAATTCTTGCCATTATAAATCAATTATCCAAAGCAGTAAAAGGAGAATCTGTATACATTATATCTGCAAAACTTCTTAATCGGCAGCAATAGAGCAAAACGGCTTAACAATACACCCAAAATGTGGAAAAATTAACCCAGGCTTTTGAAAGTGCGTATATCAGTGATGGTTTAAACCCGGATCTATCTAAGAAATACAGTTTGACATTAGCTGTTAAGGCCATGACGCAAAATTGCGCAATTGAAAAAGTAAAACTGATCATGCAAGCAGGCACATTCAACACCATGAATGATGCCATTTCAAAATTTGTCAACAGTTGTATGGAAGCAACAGGCCAGGCAAATTCTGTATTGTACTTCAGTCAACGAGAATATGGAAATAATAGAGGAAACCGAGGTAATTATCATGGCAGACGTAATTATCAGAACAACGGTTCCAGAAACAATAACCAAGTTTATTACAGAAATTATAATAGGGCACAAGGCCAAAATAGAGGAAACTCTAGAGGCCGTGACAACTCGAAGCGAAGCCACAACAATTATGTCCGAGTTACTCAGACTAACTCGGAAAACCAACAAAACCCTTAAGATATGCAACAAGAAACACCAAGGTATTCACAGTCAATCTAAATCTCAGTATCTTCATTAAGATAAATAACGAAAAAACAGGTAAAGCATTTACCCTATTGCTAGATACTGATGCAGACATATCACTATTAAAAGAACATGTTGATACACTTGAAAACATTAATTTAAACATATCAACTCAAATATCTAGAATCGGGGAAGGTTCAGTTTTTTCAAAAGGCTTAGCATTCTTAGAATTATCTACCGGAAAATGTGTCATTCCACACGACTTTCACATAGTCGGACATGATTCTTCTTCAAAAAGTATAATTGCCAATTAAATTTCACCACTAACCATACAATGTATAGACATACCAAATGGCACTTTTAATCGAAACAAGAAAAATCGAAACGAGGCGACCCCAATGGTACCTGCGACCATTTTAGTGTGCCCAGACACTGCTGAGACTGCTGAGAGTGGCAGCCGAACGCCGGCCTCAAAAGTCGAACGTTCAGTATGAAGCTGCATCTCGCTCAGCGCATAATCTCGCGGTTGATGTGTTTTCTTAAAATATGTATGTATGCCATTTTTAAATCCTTACAGCCCAAAAACATATGTGTGTATGCATGTGCCTCGCTCATTGCTTTGCGCACTTGTGTCCATCTCTTTCTCCCTCACCGAGATCACAAACATTCCTTTGTTTGTGTTGTGTGGATGTGCGCACAAGTAGATCGCGGCATTTGTCGCCAGAGGTTATTTCTTCAATTGTGTGCCTTTTGTGCCTGTGGTAGCAATAGGCACTCACATTTAAATGCTCTATCATGTATTTCTTCGTCTAGTCATGCATGATGAGAAGAATTTGATCAAATTTTATTTAATACACAATTAATTGACCTAAACAAAATATTTATATTTATTTTCTGTTTTCTGTAGGGACCTATTTTGCTTAAAATACAAAAATATCTAAGTCGTATTTCTGCAAGGGTAATTCATCGTCGGCTTGTCGAAGAATTTAAGAAAAGACCAAAAATTGACGCACACTCTTTCAAGTAAGCAGTTGTGTGCAATTATTAAAGGGTTTGGCCTGTTTAGTGCAAAATTGATATTTTCCATGCTTGTTGTAGGGGTAAGGGTACCTGATCGCTGGCATGTGTGCATGATAACTTTTTGGGTCGGCCAACCACGCACAATAACACACTTTTCTATATGAATGGAAGCATTAATGCACTTGTGTGCGTGTTGGTTGCTTGTCTGCCTGCCCGATGCAAATTTGACAAAATTTGAAGTTTTTGGCATTTGTGAATTTCGAACTCTACACACACACATATACACACTCACAAATGTGTGCGAACGAGCTGATCTATGGTTTGTCGAGAGACAGAAATATTTTTATCAATGGGTGCGTAAATTTGGGCGACTGGCACGGTCTTTGTTTTTTTGGCATGCCTATATTTTACATGATTATGAGACTTACATTCGTGCTCCGCACGCGCTTCTGTTCTCTTTCACTTCTGCTCAGCTGCAAGCACAAAACGAAAATGAACCCCGACAAAAATGCAGCTTGTGCAACTGCGTGCGATCGACTTATCATGTAAAAACTAATTCTAACGGTGCACTTCCAGTGTAAGCAGCGATGGCTGCTTACAGAAAAAATGCGAGACCCAGTAGGACTTAGTCAACAGCTATTTTCACTTCGCCCCGTAACACTAGGAATGTTCCGCGACGCCGCCAAGTACGTGAAGTGCTGCGAAATCTGTCAAAAATTCAAGAGCGAGCAACTTAAACCCTGGGACAAGAGCAGATTGATTAAAGGAAATCTTTTATATCGTCCATAGCAATCTCCAGCGCGCGCCAAAGGACCAGGGCAGACACTATAACCTGCGGAGACGAGAGTGGCGGCCTTCGTTGGATTCGTTGGTACAGTTAAGGGTGCGCCAACTATCCAACGCCGCTGAGGGTTTCGCTGAGAAGCTGGCACCCAAGTTTGACGGCCCTTATAGGGTCGTCAAATTCATATCCCTTAATATTGTGCGCCTAGTGTGGCCAGGCGAACCAAAGAAGAGGGTGGCCAGTATCTCGCAGCTGAAACCATTTTGCCAAGAGATGACCGAAGACGGAGAGGAACTGGACCCAATGGATGTGAAATAAGAGCGTACACAGAAGACCTTACTGAATAGCCATAGAATAAGTTAAGAATATAATTGTTTAGTTGGCTGGCTCAAGGTCCGGGTTTGTCTTAATAAAACAATAAAAACAATTTTATTGATTTCCAATATATTTCGGTTGCGCTTCGGTAAGCCGTCTTCAGGGAAATTATTTTACACTACTGCGCTTTTTGACGTGAAGATTTAAACTGGATAGAGTAGGTTCCATATATTGTGAGCTGCACTGCTAGGGCAGGAAATAACATAAGCAACAAATAGGCAATATGTTAGTTGAAGACCCAGAAGTCGTCGGCATGAACGCCGCCGAGGAAGCGACGGTATCGGCGTCGAAGTAAGGGAGTGGTTCATAATTATAATTATAGGGTATAAGCATTGTATAGTATATAAGCATTGTATTAGTAACAAGAACAGTTAAGGCAAGGTGCTGATGTATTGAAGCTAATTAAGGGCAATGAGCTCAGTTTGAATTAAGTTTAAATTTAACCAGCGGCCGTCGCAGGTACCGTGTGTTGCTGATCTGATGCTCAACACCGCCTTCGAGAGCGCAACTGCCATTTGGTGGCAAAGAGCGAAAGCTCCGAGGCGAAGTTGCGAAAGCTTGCGGCGAAGTTGAACGGCCGCGGCGAACGCATGGCTTGTTAGCGAGCATGCCGGCACTTGTGGAAAGACCATCAGGGTGAGTAGACGTGCAGCGAAATGAAGTGTGAGTGACGAAGATAAAAAGTTCAGCGGAGCGCTATTAATAAATAAAAGAAACGGGCAGCAGATCCCCCAACGGCAAGGATCCACGCTCGACAGTTCAGGCCGTCCAAGAAGCTGTCAGGCCAGAGAGGCCAGCAGGTCACCCCAAAGGCCCGATTTTGGCTCAGCGTGGCACGTCAGTCATATCAGCGACGCACGTACGCCATATCAGCTGCGCAGATCAGCCATACCCTCGGCGCACTTATCCCCAGTGCTATCAATGAGGATTGGTTAAGAAGCGGCCACTGGCGAAGCGCACATCATCCGAGTGAGTCTATTCCATGTTGTCCTTCCTCGCCCCGAGTAGCAGACAGAGTCAGACGCAGACTCTTGTTCGAGACCCCTGACTGAAAAAAGATTTTTGCATTTGTTAAGTTTCGTTTTTTATGTTAATTATATACACGTACTTACGCCAAATTTCTTTTAAGAAAAACTTCCTAGAGTGCGAACAGTGAAAGAAAGACCAAATAGATTATTGCGTCTGCCAAATAAATAAAAACAAAAAATTAGATTTTTGTTAACATGTGCACGAACGATAACCACCTATTTGTATATATATGTACAGAATACACATTATGATTGCCCTTACCGCTCTTTAGAAAGGTAAGGTATAATCAGCGCTTTGAAACATATATAACATCTCTCTTTGTGGCACATATATACGCACATTTATTTCAGTGGGTACTTGTTCCCCCATTGGTGCAATAATTACCTTGTATTGATATCATTTGCCTTTGTTTTATTTTCTTTGCGACTGGCAATAACTTTGGCTGGTGTTTTCGTCCTCTGTTCAGTATAAAGTTGTACAAAAAATGTGTTATGTAAACAAATTAAAATTTTAGAAATTAATATCAATTATGTTTATTATAAGATGATGCAAAGTATAATACGATCCTGTTGAAGTGCGAGCAATGTCAGCCTGCCGAAATTATTAATAACAGAGTGGAGATATCCTGTAAAAAGATAGTAGAAAAAGCGGTGAGGTGCATTGTTAATAATTATAAGATGAAGCAAATAATTATACGCACCTGTTAAGTGAGAGAAATGGCAGCTTGCACGAAATCACAAAGGCAGAGTGAGGATGTGCTGTAAAAATAAATAAGAAAACAATTATACGCCCAGACTGAAGGAAAACAATGTTCGGCTGTATACCAGCTCACCATTGATGGTGAGAGGTGGCATGACAGCTGACAATCTAATGGCTAAAATAAGGGAGATGAGATCGGGTGATCGCCTCATGTAGAGCGGGTATACTGGTTCCAGAACCGGGACCCTATCTGGAAAGGTTAAGTGGATTGGTAGTGATATATTTTTTTTTTGGGAGTTTATATTAGCGTCTCACCTTTGTTGTCGTTGCAGCTGTTTATGTTGCTCATTTCATTGTAGCTTTGTTGATATCGATCATGATGACTGCGGGCCAGAGATGGGACTACAACCAGAGAACCGATAAACAAGCCGGCCCAAAGAGAAAAAAGCAGTTCCGTAAGTAACTTGACCATTTAATAAATAAATATAAGATTAATCGGGAGAGAGTTTTCAGTTGAAAGTGCTTGAAGTGTATTCCTCTGCTCCAAGATTTTAATACATTTTTGCGCTATAATCCTGCTTTTTATTTCCAAATTTTGCGTTTTTATAAATTGTACAAAGTGTTATTGCCTGTTTTGATTCTTTTGTTAATGTGTTAATAAGCAAATTTAATATCTCCACCCCTCGCGATATAGAATCATTGAAAATTAATATTTCTTATGATTTGTTCACAGTCATTTTTGGTACATACATTCTCCGAGATGGCCAATCCTGACGCTTACACGACCTCGTGTATGCATTCAGCAATTCGCGTTGACAGGCACTGCTCAGGTGTTACATAAACAATGCTCAAGGTTAAATTTTGCAAAAAATTTAAAATGGATGAATATTTTGAAACGCACCAAGTCTACCTTACTCAGAATGGTTTTGCTAGTGCAAGCTTATGCGTCTGTTTCAACGCTACAATCTTTTTTAACGTCCTCACTGGTACTACCATTTGTGCCTGCTTCAACGCCACAATCTTTATTAGCACCCTCACTGGTACTACAATTTGCGTATGTTTTAACGCCACCACACCTCTCTGTACCACTTCTGGTACCACCATTTGCGTCTGTTTCAACGAGACCACTCATCACCACTGTCTTGACCGGTAATGCTCTCAAACATTCATGTGAGTATTTAAAAGTCCGTTTACTGTTTAATGATTTCAAACCAAATCGATCTCCATCCAATAGTTCTATTATGACAAACAGTCCTTTCAATTTAGGATCTACTATGGTTTGATTCCTCTCTCCACACTTCAGTAGAACATAATCACCCACTTTATGCTTTACAATTTTCGCTTTGGTTTTGTCGATTTTTTTTGTCATAGTGCGCATTCCTTATCATGTTGTTTTTAGCTTGTGACCTTGGATCTAGTAAATGTTCATCTTTTTCATTGACAATATTTGACAACATCCCTAAAGGCCTTACATCTTTTCCTATTAGAAGTTGTAGTGGACACGATTTGGTAACACGATTGGATGTGCAATTTATTGCCAATTGAACCTCTTAATGCCTCTTGCCATGAAAGTTGACCTGTGTTTACAGATGTTAGCAAACATTTGAGTGTGCCTCATCACACGCTCAACCTGCCTATTCGCGCGACTAGCTCCTATGCCAACACGCCACAACACATCGGCCCTGATCAGCTATAATACGGCTTGGCACACCGAACAAAGATATAACTGCCTTAACTGACTGTATACCACTTTTAGTAAAATACACGTACTTTGTAAACGCATCTATAAGAACAATGACTAATTGCCTTTGGTCGCATTTGCCACTTAATTTTTCAGTGATGTCTAAATGAATTGTGTGCTATGGTATTTCAACTTTGGGTAACGGATGTATTTCTTGTTGAATTTTCCCGGAAGGTGGTTTCGATAGTTTACACGTTATGCAATTGTTAATGAATTTTCTGACATATTTTGCCATTCCGTCAAAGCAATAGCAACTATACACCTTATCGAGGGTCTTTTCCGAACCAAGTTGCATTATAGCCTCGTGAATATGATTAATAGCGGCCCATCTATATGCCTTCGGAACTACTGGTAACCATCGGGTTCGATGAATTTTACGATAAAGTTAGCCTTATCTCAATTTATATGTATTTTCAATATTTTCGTAAGTTTTATTGTTTTGTAATTTAAATATTAAAGCTTATATTTCGGGGTCTCGTTACTGTTCAGGTATAAGCCAGGTGTCACCAAGTCAGTTAAGTTTACTCGTTTTTCAGTGGTTTTATATACGAGCTGAGGCTTCTCTGAAATTGGGGTTCGAGAAAAGAAATCTACGTGCGCCATGCATTTTCCCTCCTATAAACAATATCAAACTCAAAAGATCGCAAATACAACCCCCATCGATATACTGTGAGGCGGCCACTAAGGTAGCCACCCCACAGTTCATAATTATCATCAAAGGTTATAAGCATTGTATTAGTAATAAGAACAGTTATCGGCAAGGTGCCGATGTATTGAAGCTAGTTAAGGGCAAGGAGCTCAGATAGAATTAAGTTTGAATTCAACGCCCGGCCGTCACAACAACCGTGCGTTGCTGATCTGTTGCTCAACACCGCCTTCGAAAGCGCAACTTCCATTTGGTGGCAAAGAGCGAAAGCTCCGAGACGAAGTTGCGAAAACTTGCGGCGAAGCTAAGCGAGCGAGCATGCCGGCACTTGTGAAAAGACCATCAGGGTGAGTAAACGTGCAGCGAAGAGAAGTGAGAGTGACGAAGTGCAAAAAGTGCCGCAGGGCCTTAATTCAGGAAACACAGTAGGGCAGTAGTTAATGAACAACTGAATAAAGTGAGTATAAGGAAAACGATGAAGGAAATTGCTGGTCCTTGTATTCTTGGGTGGTCGTATTTGTGCTAACATCGGGAATAGTCGATATTTACCCTAACCTAGAGTAGTAGCATGTGGTGCGAGGCTACGGCCCGATAGCATAGTTGGTGCGAGTGTAGTTGAAATGTGGCTAATGCACAATAGTGTAGTTGGAATGTGGCTACGACCCGGTAGAGTAGCTGGTACAAGGCTACGGCCCGGTACAGTTGGGGATACGTGGCTGCGGCCCGGTAGAGTAGTTGTAAACATAGAGAGAGAGGTATAGTTTGGTCGGTATATTCGCTACCGCTGTGGACAGGAGGATCCCCGCACTGCCGACAACGACCCCTGCGGAAGTGGCCCACCAAATGATGGTAGATGAGCTGATCCAGGCAGGTGCCATCGAGCCGTCGCGTAGTCAGCACAGCCCCCCAATTGTCCTAGTAATGAAGAAGACTGGCGAGTGGCGCATGCGCATGGACTACCGGCAGCTCAATGCGCATTACGTTCCGGATGCTTATCCCGTTTCCCGGATCAACCACATCCTAGAGCGGATGTTTCACACCCGGTTCATCTCCACTCTGGCCTTGAAGGATGGGTACTGCCAAATACCAATGGCAGCATGTGCAATTTTTCAACGAGCCTTAGGCACAGTAATAGGACCAGAGATGGAGTCTCATGCGTTTGCCTACCTAGACGATATCGTGGTAATAGGGGTATCGAGTGAAGAACATGTTGAGAATTTAAGGGGACTGTTTCGTCGGTTGAGGGCAGCTAATCTCAGGCTGAATAGAAATAAGTGCATCTTCTTCCGGGAAAGGTTGGTCTACCTTGGGCATGTCATATGCGAGGAAGAAATACGTACCGATCCAGAGAAGGTAGAGGCGATACTTAACCTGAGGGCCCCGACAAATTGTTGGGAGTTGCGGTTATGTCTAGGGATGACGTCATGGTACAGGCACTTCGTTCCCAACTTCGCGATTCAGGTACAGCCGCTCACAACGCTCTTAAAGAAGGGTTGGATATGGGTATGGGAACAAGAACAGGAAGAGCCATTGCATCAATTGAAGGATAGCTTGACGACTGCCCCTGTGTTGGCTTGTCCTGATTTTTCTGCCAAAATCGTCTTGCGCACTGAAGTGAGCGTGTACGGCCTCGGCGCAGTGCTGGCACAGACGCTTGAAGGACAGGAGCGAGTGATAGCGTACACGAGCCGAAAGTTACTAAAAGCGGAAGTGAACTATTCCGCCACCGAGAAGGAGTGCTTAGCAATCGTATGGTCGATCCGGAAGCTGAGTTGCTACCTAGAGGGGTACCATTTCGACGTGATAACGGATCATCAAGACATCCTCTAGAGACCTGTCAACAAGCAGTGGTAGCCGAGTCACCCTGCAAGTGGGTCGCGGGTATGCGTACATGAATCGCCGAGCAGCCGGCCCAGTTCTCGGACTACATAGAAGAGAATGGGCAACTGTATAGGGACACCGACGGATGACGAGGAATTCATTCCTTGGAAGCTATGTGTGTCTAGTGATCAGTGACAGAGGGTATTGCAGGAATGCCACAATGCTCCCACGGCCGTGTCAAGATTGGCCCACAGAAACGACTGGCTAGGTATGTTTCGCGACGCCGCCAAGTACGTGAAGTGCTGCGAAATCTGTCAAAAATTCAAGACCGAGCAATTTAAACCCTAGGACAAGGGCAGATTGCTTAAAGGAAATCTTTTATATCGTCCACAGCAATCTCCAGCGCGCGCCAAACGACCAGGGCAGACACTATAACCTGCGGAGACGAGAGTGGCGGCCTTCGTTGGATTCGTTGGTACAGTTAAGGGTGCGCCAACTATCCAACGCCGCTGAGGGTTTCGCTGAGAAGCTGGCACCCAAGTTTGACGGCCCTTATAGGGTCGTCAAATTCATATCCCTTAATATTGTGCGCCAAGTGTGGCCAGGCGAACCAAAGAAGAGGGTGGCCAGTATCTCGCAGCTGAAACCACTTTGCCAAGAGATGACCGAAGACGGAGAGGAACCGGACCCAATGGATGTGAAACAAGAGCGTGCACAGCAGACCCTACTGAATAGCCATAGAATAAGTTAAGAATATAATTGTTTAGTTGGCTGGCTCAAGGTCCGGGTTTGTCTTAATAAAACAATAAAAACAATTTTATTGATTTCCAATATATTTCGGTTGCGCTTCGGTAAGCCGTCTTCAGGGAAATTATTTTACACGTCTGCGCTTTATGACGTGAAGATTTAAACTGGATTGAGAAGGCTCCATATATTGTGAGCTGCACTGCTAGGGCAGGAAATAACATAAGCAACAAATAGGCGATATGTTAGTTGAAGACCCAGAAGTCGTTGCCATAAACGCCGCCGAGGAAGCGACGGTATCGTCGACGAAGTAAGGGAGTGGTTCATAATTATAATTATAGGGTATAAGCATTGTATAGTATATAAGCATTGTATTAATAACAAGAACAGTTAAGGCAAGGTGCTGATGTATTGAAGCTAATGAGCTCAGTTTGAATTAAGTTTAAATTTAAGCACCGGCCGTCGCAGGTACCGTATGTTGCTGATCTGATGCTCAACACCGCCTTCGAGAGCGCAACTGCCATTTGGTGGCGAAGAGCGAAAGCTCCGAGGCAAAGTTGCGAAA